GTTTAGCTGGTTTTGGCACGCACTCACAAAAAGGTTGCCCACCCCTGCTCTAGGCCAAAGCTACTCCTGAAATACCCAATGCCCTCCAGGTAACTGTGCACAGTGGATGCGCGCACTGGATCCCACAGGAGAGGTGTCTGCCTCGGATCCCCCCTGGGGCAGATTCCTCGGGGGCGCCACACAAGTGTTTCTGGTCAACCTCGGGCGCCCCCAGCCCCATCTTTTACCTTTGAAGAACGGGCAGATCTTCCACACCGTGGCTGCCCCTTCCCGGTTGAACTGGCCCAGAGCCAGCTCCATGTAGAAGAGGGGCATCCCAGCGATGATGAGGAACAGCGTGTACGGGATCAGGAAGGCACCTGCGGGACACAGAGGCGGAGCCTGACCCCACATGCCCCGGCCCAGCCCGGGCCTGCCCCGCCCAGAGCTGCGAGGTCCTCATTCCTCTGCCCGCCCCGCCACTCCCCGAGGGGGGCTGTGTGGCAGGCACATAGGGGATACGCAGGGCGATTAGTGCAAATCATCACAATGGCAATCACAACCGTAGTGGCCCTGGTAATATCATAACGAGCGGCTGTCATCACATTGAGTAAAATCTGGGTTAAACCAAGCTACACAGATGTGTTTCCTGCAGGACCCTCCCAGCCTTCGACACACAAGCACCAGGAGGAGGCCACAGGTGGGTCTGTGCCAAACTTCTGTAAATACAGACCTTCCCTTTCATGCAGGCCCCAGGGAGGGGGGCAGCAGGAGGCCGAGGGCCCAGGCCAGTGGGGAATGAAGGGGTGGGGGAGGGAGTGTGACCAGGGAGGGGCTGCGGGAAGGAGGGGAGGGTCCCCTGAGACCTAGCTGGACCAGCTTCCCAGACTACTGAGGGCACGATTCCCCGAACTGAGTTCCAGCCACACCTTCGTATATGGAGGAGCAAACCCCCCACAGAGCTGTTCTCCGGGCTCCCGGGCGCCTGCAGCCCTGCTCCCCGGTTACCTCTGCCCAAGGCTTTCACGAGAGTCCCAACAAAACCCGGGTCAGTGCCGAGGGCAGCTGGGTTCTCCCCGCTCCGCACACATCCCCAGGGCACAGTGAAGGCCAAGTGCACTGGGAGTAAGGTAACAAGAGAAGACAGCTTTTCCCAGCTGGTGGCCGGGACCCTGCTGGGGGGACAAAGGCTCTCGCGGCTACAGATTCAAGAGGATGCGCCAGGCCACAGCTGCTAAATGAAACACGTTCTCCCCTCCTGACTTGATGACCAGCCCTTGGCCATGGGGCGAGTGTGAAGTTCCAGTTTGGAGCCCGCAGCTCTCCATAAGTCTCCGCCCTGGAAAGTGGCGGCAGTGGGGAGCCCCGTTTGCCCGGCTCCCCCTTTTCCCCACCTCAGCTCCAACCAGAGAGGCGCCAGGCTACAGCCTCTGCAGAGAGTGGGCCCCGGCCTCCCCTCGGGCCTGGGGCTGAGCCAGCGTCTCGCACAGTCCATGTTGCGAAGGAGCCAGGCAAAAGGGCCATGGGGAGCCGGAGGGGGTGGGGTGCCTGGGCAGGGAAGTCCAAGGTCCTGGTACCTGGGTGTGGTGGGTCGGGAGGCAGTGTTCTGGGTGGGCCGGCCCGCCTGGCTCTGACCACAGTGAGAAGAGTAGGAGGGGAGAGCAGGGGGTTCGGGGGGGCTCTCTCTGGCCCAGGGCCCAGGGCAGGCCCCTGTGACATAATAAGAAATGTATGTATTTGCTCTCCGCTCCGTGTTCTTGACACAGAGCTCCCAAATCCCTTGTACTCTCTCCCGAGATGTGGGTAACAGGAAGGCCTAACACAGAGCTCCCAGACCCCCCGGAATTTTCTGGGGGTAGCAGCGTCTCCTGTTCTGGTGAAATGGCTCGGGGGGCTGCTGCATGGTGACGGTCCGCCAGACAGACTAAGCCCTGATTAGAAGATTGGGGGCTTTCAGCCGCCCCCCAGCCCCTGAGGAGGAGACGGGCTGGCGATGGACGGAATAGGGACCACGTCTGGGTGATGAAGCCGCCACAGAAACCCCGAACGACAGAGCTGGGAGGACTCCCAGGTGGGCGGACATGTCCACATGCCAGGGGTTGGCGCACCCCGACTTCCTGGGGACAGAAGCTGCAGTACTTGGGGTCCTTCCAGACCTCACTCCATGTACCTCTTTATCTGGCGGCTCATCAGTCTCCTTTCTAATAAACGGGTAAATGTAAATACATGGTTTTTACTGGGTTCTCTGAGCTGTTCAAGCAAATGATCAAATCTGAAGATGGGACGGTGGGAAGCCCCGATTCGCAGCCGGTTAGCGACGGGGACCTGAAGTGTGGACGGCCTTATGGGGTTCCCCACTCACAGCGAGTAGACAATGTCAGAACTGGACTGCAGGCCATCATCTTGATATTCCTGGCACATGATGGGCATTCTTTTTGTAAATGCTTTTTGGTTAAATAAACGGATGCCAGCAGTGACTTACCCGCAGCTAATGAAAGCGCCGGGCCTTTCTCCCCTCACGCGGTGACCTAGGCAGTTGGGTTTGGGACCGCAGGGTAGGAGGTCACATTGATCCCCGTGAAATCCCATCTTGCTGGGAAGGGCCCCTCTAGACGTTTGGGCCAGCTCAGAGCCACGGGCCAAATCATGCTGGTGACCTCGACCCCAGGTCCCAGCTCCAGCCCCTAGTACGCGTCTCACTGCTGCACACCTGTCAGGCAAAGGGCCACCCCAGCTGGCTGGCTCGTGGGCATCTGAACTGAACTTGGCTTGCCGAGTTCCGGGTGTAGACAGCACCCTGACGGCCAGGCCAGCGGTGAGGGCATTGAGTTTGCAAACTGCTGCCCCCGGCACCGGCCACCACCTCCTGCCTGGCCTCAACAACCCCAGCTATTTTGGCCAAGAGAGTCCCTATGGGGCTGTGGGTACCCGAGACCTGGAACTTACTTGGGAAAGGAGGGGAACCCCATTTGGGACCCAGGACCCCATGGGGCCCCATGAATGGTGGAGGGAACGTTAGTCCCCATTCTCTGGGCGAGGAGACGACAGCGAGACAGGGTTCCGCTGTCGGAATACAGAGCGACGCCCAGCCTCCATTCTTAATGAATAATGAATAATTCCCCAGGCCCAAGCATGACTACTCCCATCAATTTCCCTTCGCCTATGTCCTCTTAGAATCAGCTCTGCTCCCTCCAAAGGCAGGACCCTGCCCTACTCCTGGGTCCAGCCCGTGGTTAGAAATCACTGACCAATAACACGAAGAGTAACAACTCCGTTTACCAAGCTCCTACACGGTGTGGGGCGTCCTGTGTATATATTCTCTGTCATGACACCTCACCAACAGGGAGGCACAGCTCCTCTGCTTTTCTGCACAAGGAACCTGAGGTCCAGAGCGGACGAGGGACTTGTCCAAAGCCACATCTCCCAGAAATGTCAGGCCCGGGTTCAGACCCAGGTCTGTCTGAACCTAAAGAGCCGTCGGCACGACCTGTCACACGGAAGCAGTCGCTTGCAAAGGATGGTTCCCAGTGGCCTCGTCCCCTGCAGGGAGGCAGATGCCGGGACCCAGCCCACTGGCCCGGTCCTCCCCCGGGAACAGGCCATGCCCAAGCCCACAGGTGCCGAGGGGGGATGGAGAACCCTGGAGACAGCCCCACTGCCTCCCTGCTGGAGAAGGCTGTGATGGGGCCCTGGAATGTTCTAGAGTGCCTTTCCCCAACGGGAAGCCTCCCACACACCTGTACTCCAGCAGCTGGCCCACAGGAAGGTGGCTGGAGCAGGTCATGCAGGAGATAGTAGCCAAGGGCCTGACCTACGGCACCTCTATCATATCACAGCGGCCTCCTGTCTGAGATGCCACGGACCACTGGCCGCGGAGAGTTACCGTGTTAATCTTGTGATGGAGCCTTGGAATGTTCTAGAGTGCCTTTCCCCAACCGGAAGCCTCCCATACACCTGTACTCCAGCAGCTGGCTGATCTCTCCCAGCAGGTCATGCAGGAGATAGTAGCCAGGGGTCTGACCTACGGCACCTCTATCATCACAGCGGCCTCCTGTCTGAGACACCACGGACCACTGGCCGCGGAGAGTTACCGTGTTAATCCCAGCACCGAACAGGGTGGTGAGTCCGGGCTGGAGCACAGCGCTGGGCCAGGAGAGGGGTGGGTCTTGGGAGTCCTCTGAGCTCACCTCCAGCGGCAGTGGAGAACCTGGGCTCAGAGAGGGGCAGGGCCACGCCCGGGGTAACAGAGCTGGGTGAGGAGTAAGTTAGAAAAGGAGCCACCTTGGGCTCGGAGACGGCAGCTGCCCTGCTGCGTTGTGCCAACCAGGGGCATCCTAGCCAGACAGGGAAATTCACGGGTGATGCCTCCCCAGCCTAGCCTGGTGCCCGAGGTCTCCACGGCCAGACCCCGACTTGCCTCTCCACCCTTTCCGCTCCCATCTTGTCCTTCAGCCTTCACACCGCGTTTCTGAGTGACCCCACTTGCATTCGCCATCAACTAGAATATCTCCTTCTACCCCCCAAGGCTTGACCATGCCCCTCCCGTTCCCAGAAGCTGAGCGCCACCCACAGCCCCCCACCTCCAGGCTTCCCGCAGCAGTGCTTGCCCCCACTCCATCCATCTCCCAGGTCATCGTGAGGATGTCAACGAGGAGGCACCGTGACCTGGACGGAGGCCATCCTCCCTGCCTGGCTCCCCGGGGTGCACTCTGTCCTCACAACAAGCTCTGAGTTGAGCACCATGGTTTCCACTTGACAGATGAGGAGACAGAGGCTGGCTGCGTCCCCCGAAGGCACATAGCTGGGCATTAGCACCCGGCTCCTGATCTCGCCCCAGCCCCAGCGGTGCCTCACTTGTGAGGTACCACCAGCGGGTCTGCTCTTCCCGGAGAGGCGTAAGGTCCTCGTATGAACGCGTTCATTCCACAGACGTTTGCTGGGCACCCCCTACCACAGTCCTGGCATCTAGGCCTTATCTCGGGCGTCGGAAATACACAAACCACGGTCTCTGCTCTCAAGGTGTCAACAGACAAATGACCGAACAAGTCGGGATGGGCTGCGGGCAGGGCTAGCCAGCCTAGGCGAGGGGCTTCCCGATCACGTCCCTTCAACATGGGAACCTGCCGGCCAGTGTGGCTCAGTGGTTGATTGTCAATCTATGAGCCAGGAGATCACGGTTCGATTCCCAGTCGGGGCACATGCCCGGGTTGTGAACTTGATCCCCAGTGTGGGGCGTGCAGGAGGCAGCCGATCAATGATTCTCTCTCATCACTGATGTTTCTACCTCTCTCTCCCTCTCCCTTCTTCTCTGAAATCAATAAAAAAAAATATTTTTATAAGATGGGAATCTGTGCTCCTATGAGCCAGGAGATCACGGTTTGATTCCCAGTCGGGGCACATGCCTGGGTTGTGAACTTGATCCCCAGTGTGGGGCGTGCAGGAGGCAGCCGATCAATGGTTCTCTCTCATCACTGATGTTTCTACCTCTCTCTCCCTCTCCCTTCTTCTCTGAAATCAATAAAAAAAAATATTTTTATAAGATGGGAATCTGTGCTCCATCTTGTGCCCAGGGCACCTGGCATGCCACCTTGCACACGGCAGGCACTGTCTCTGTGCTGGTGGCCACAGCCAAGTGCACACACAGTGCCAGGGAAAGTTCCAGAATGTCCATCCAGCCAATGTGTCCACCTGGCCACCCAGACCCAGGCTGCTTTCGGTTTCCACACTTAGAACAATGGAAACAACTTGTGGCAGCGAAGCCTGTAGCGGCTACAGCTCCTGGCAGGCAGGCGGGGAGGGGGAGTGATCTGGAGGACCCACCGGAGCCTAGCTCTGGGCTCCCTGGGAAGAACCCATCGAGATTGCTGATTCATGATGGAGCCTTCCACTGCCCAGGGACAAGCGTGAGGTCATGCTGGATGGCGCGGTCTAGGGCTGTGGTCGGCAAACGTGTCAGCAAACGTCAGCTCTCGAGCCACATGCGGCTCTTTGGCCCCTTGAGTGTGGCTCTTCCACAAAATACCACGTACAGTGCGATTGAAACTTCGTGGCCCAGGAGCAGAAGTCAGTATTTTGTGGAAGAGCCGGTATTTTGTGGAAGAGTCACACTCAAGGGGCCAAAGAGCCGCGTGTGGCTCGCGAGTCGCAGTTTGCCGACCACTGGACTAGGGTCTCTCAGTCTGCCCTTCATTCATCAAGTCCCTGCTGAAACGGCGTGGGATCTGCAGGTCCTCCCTCCTTGGGTCTGAAGGGCCCTGGGCTTAAACCCCCAGCAGCCCAACATGCAAAAGTGTTCACCTCTGTCTGCATCATGTGTCCCATTTCTCACCCAGAGTGACAAGCGAGTGTCTAGCGCATGCACTGAAGCAAACAGCGGGGTCCCGGGCCCTCACGCCCAGTTCACAACCCTCTCCCTGCCCCCCTCTGGCCCCCTGGAGTCCTGAGCCAGGGTCCCTGCCAGGCAGGATGGTCCAGTGGATAGAGAGGTGTCCAGACCTGGGTCCCCCTGCACCAACCTCTGCCTCTACGTCATTTCCCCTGGGCTTTCTGCAGGGCACCCCTTGGCTCATCCCAGCAAAAGGGGCAGGACGAGTGGTTTGGGCACCGAGGAGCAAAGGCCCCAGTATCCTGTGTGGGGCCGCAGTTCGTCTCTAGGCTCTCAGCCCAGGGTAGGGGGGTATGTCCCCCAGCACAGAGCAGGAGGAGAGAGCCTGGCTGTATTCCCAGGCCCCGGGCCTCCTCCACGCTGCCATGGTGCCAGGACCCCATCCCAGTCCCCGATCCCTCCTGGCCTGTGCCCTCTGGCCCCTCCAGCCAAACAACACCACCCCTGAGTGGGGTTCTCTTTGTCCCCGGAGTGCAGGAAGCCCGGTCCTCTCTCAAGCTGGGGTGCTGGGTTTAGGGACCCCCTGTGCCTGGCTGCCACCTGCTGTGCACTTTGGTGCCCCTTCCAGAGCTTTCCAAATCTCCACCCCCTTCCTGCAGACCATCAAACGTCAGGGGTCCTCACCCAACCTGTGCCCGATGCCCTCCTTCCAGCCAAGCGCTGGTCACTGTCCAAGTTCATGCCTCAATTTCCCTCTTCCACCGGGAACTCCAACGCTTTTTCTGTGAGCCCTGCCTGCGCCCCAAACTTGCCCGTGCGCTTCCTCTTCCCCTGGGTGTGTATCCCAGGCCCTCTCCCAGCCACTGCTGCACAGGCAGCGTCCCCAGTCCACACCCCCGGCCCGCGGGGCTCACCGCCGCCGTTCTTGTAGCAGAGGTACGGGAACCGCCACACGTTGGCCAGGTCCACCGCGAAGCCCACCACCGACAGCAGGAAGTCGATCTTCTTGCCCCAGGTCTCCCGGGGCGGCTCCTCGCTCCGGCGGGACGCCAGCAGGCACTGCACCCCGTTGCGCTCCTTCACCACCAGCAGCTCCGCGGCC